CTCTGTCTCCAGTTTTCAATCTGGCCCTGTGAAGCATCCTACGCCCCCTCAGATGTGGTTTAGGGGCTATAGGATAGTTCCTTCAATACATGTAATGGTTTTCATCCATTTTAATAATGCCTGTAAGCTGCCTTGAGTGCATTTTTATTGTTTGGAGAAAGGTGGGATAGAAATCAAATCAATAGATAAATCAGACCCAGAAGAAGCAAACTTAAGTTTGGGGGAGGAATCAGGGGCATTTGATGCCTCATTACCTCCAAATTGATGCTCGGGTTTTGCAATACTTCAGCTCAGCACTTGCTGCAGCCACCTACGCACTCAGAATTGTTCCTCGCTCTTTCCTGCATGCCAGCATCCACTGTGACTATGGCTAGCCATGAAAAAGCACTTGAGAGCTTTTTCCAAGTCCTTTGATTTAGCTTCAGGTGTGGCATTATCACTGTGGCATTTCTCCTCTTCTGCACTGTGTTTGCAGATTGAGGAAAAGGATTGCTTTGGCAGCTGTGTGATCAAGAGGCTTCTTATACATTGCCAAAAAAAGGGGGAAAGTAGACTGAAAAAGAGGGCTAAAGGAGGGGCAGATTCATATATTCTGCATAAAGTTAGAATATTGAAAAACAAGTGCAGTAATTTAAATAGAAATACTATAAAACTCATTTTATAGGTGAGACTGTGACCAGGTGACCCATGTGTCTCCTCAGGCTGAAGCCCAGGTGCTAACTGTTGATGGGAGAGTGCATCAATCTTAGAGTTTAAGCATGAACTGTATCTTAGAGGGAGAATGCCTTCAAATAGAGATTGTCCTTTGACATCCCTTCAGAAACTGAGAACTGCCTGGTAAGAGCCCTATCCTTCCTAGAGAAGGAGTTGTTATTCCAAACAGTCTATTATTCTCAAACCAAGAGTGGGTGAGAATATCTCTTAAATACGCCTATTTCTCTCTCTGCAACCGATAGAATAACAACTGTGTATACCAAACAATTTGGCAATTGAGTCGCTTGTTTTGAAGAATTTATGTTTCAACAATTAACAGAATTCTCCTGTGCATCTAACTCAGACATAAGTTGTACCTTATCGAACAGAGCTTAACCGTGTGTTGGATTGCAGCCTGAGTGCATAAATCTGATGTTAGAGTTATGAGAAAGACTGCACTGTGCTTCCAACCTTCACAAACAGACCAATTCTGAAAAGAATACTGGGATTGCACTTCAGTTAATGTTGTGTACCCACAACCATTAATGCTGAAAAGCATTAACAATTGCAATTACTTTAGCAGCCTCAAATATTTGCTTATGCACAGTTGTTGCTTTCCAGTCTGATATTTGAAAGACGGACAGAATATGTCATAAAATGCACTATCTTGTTAACACCCGAGTTTCATGACAAAGATGTCTTTTATGCTGCAGCACCAGCTCTTCACTTTGTCAGGCAGCAGAGGCAGGCCTGTTTCATCCAGCCACATCTGTAGCTTGAGATGATAAGCTGACATCTGCAGCAGCCTGGAAGGCATCTGAAGCTGCTGCTGCAGTCGAGAGCAAAATGTACTCTCATCTCAGATATGCTCTCTAGAATTTTAGAGCATTCTCAGGCTGCAGAGCGCTGGCTTCCCTTCAAAACAGGGACCAGGGATCTGTACAGCTGGGCAACTGCCAAAGCCCATGTCACAGCCCATGCCAAAGCCCATGTCACACCGTGCTCTGCCTTGCCATCTTTTTCTTGCAGTCATGGCCTGGTGGTCTGCCCTTTCCAAGTGTCTGAGCAGCAGCTTACATCTGCTCTGCCTTTTCCCTGTGAGCAATTTGGGCCTAGAGAAGGAAGAGGAGTGAAGAAGCCACACTGGCAGGGCATATGCGATGCTGGGAGTTCATTTCGTTTAAGTCCAGTGGGATTTTGAAGTGTTGCCATTGCAATAAACAGCAGTGGACTGTGGGCTGTTTTTGTTGTTTTAAGTAAATGCACACATTTTTTCCTCTATAAATTTGCACAACTGTTATTGTTGCTTATTATTTCTTTCCAGGTCTTTAAAATTGCACAAATGGGATTATTTCTCCCTTCAGGGTTTCACAGGTACTAAAGCAGAGAAGAATGTTTTAAACTAAATTAATAGTCTACTCTCACTCTTGTGAATATCCTTGTCAGATGCATCACACTCCCTACTTCACTTACCCCAGTAGAGCCATATACCTTACTTGTTACAGTATGTGTTAATTTTTTCCTCCACTTTGGCACCCCCCCCATTTACCTGGAAAAAAGAATAATTTTTAAAAATTAGGCATCAATTTCTACAAATAATCACTGCAATCTAAAAAAAAAAATGCTAACATCTGCATGTTGGACTAACTCACTACAGATTAGGTCAATTGGATCTGCATGGGAGGGATGGTGGGAAGGGTGTCCATGCACTTGTGAAGATGGAGAGTGTGTCTATCTGAATATCTCTGTGTACGTGTAAAATGAGGGGGTACCGTGCATGTAGCAGTAGTCCCACCCACATTGGGTGGCAGCCTGACCAGTATTAGCATGCCATTCCCAATTGGCTTGAGACCAATTCAGTCTCAAGCCCAAAATGGTTCTCATTCCTACTTTATCTTGGCAACTTCCATTAGTATTCAAAGCAATGGGCAAGACATTACCTTGTTCCTGTTCACCTTCACCTGTCCTTGTTGTTCCCACTAGCCCCAACATTGTTAAAGCACAAAATAATACCATGGAGCACCAAAAAGGTAACATTTAACTTGTGTGTGGGCTAGATTTGGCCCTTTGGGTGCTCTGTAGCATCCCCCACTCCAAAAATATTAATTTAGTTTTCTGGGTTAACTGTGGCTTATAGGGGCAGGTTCCAAAGTTTTGCATCCCTGGTTTTTAAGCAGCACATTTTAAATTATGTGGGCAATGGAGATGGCAGTTCAGCAATTTAAGAAGAAAAATTATAGTTATTATAGCAGTATCCTGCTTTTCCAGCATTAGAAAATGTGCTCAAAATAGCACACCAGGCTTTGCTTTCTTCTTTGCACCTGTTAAAGGTTCCCCCCTTTTTGGGGGGAGGGGGCTTTGTGACTTTAATGCATTTTAGTCACAGTTGGTGGTTTTATCTGGCTTTGGTTTTATTCTTGTATTCTTTTTTCAATTGTTTAAATTTTTTGAAAAGTGCTTTGGAACTTTCATCTAAAAGTTAGCATCGGAATGTTCAAAATCAATAAATCAATTAAAATATAAAAGAGATCACAATATAAAATACAATGAATGCATCCTTAAAATAATAAGAACAAGAAAATGGTAAAAGAATAATCATAAATTTTAGTGGAACTCACTGATTACAAAGCCAGTAATTTCCTGGCACCTGAATGCTCACAATGCAGGCATATCCTTTTATTTTTTTGGGGGGAGGAGTATTCTGGAGTATTTTGGGGGGGTATTTCTGGGGAAAATGTAATTCAGCATCATCTCAAGGGCTACAACAAACATCTTCTCTAACCATTGGATATCTTAGACAGGACTGATAGGAGTTTGAGTCCAACAGCAAGAGGGGCCATGGAGCTCCCATCTCTATTCTATAGAAAAACAGCACAACCAGAAGTTTAGTCTCTGCTCATCCTTGCTTAACTTCTAAAGACTGGAGGGCTTAGGGAAGACTTTCTGATGAAGATCTCAGATGTATATTGGAAGAAGCTTTTCTGCTACAGAGGTGACAGAAAATAGAATCTAGCAATTGCCAAGTTTGAGAAGATGTGAAAGTCCAGATCAGAGAACTTTTAATGCTTGCTTCAGGTGTCCACTTTGTGGCTGAGCACCTGCTCCCTGTAGGCCTTTCCTCCACTCCCTGTCAGCATATGGGCCCACCTGAACTGTGGCTCCCCAGTAGGCAGGGAGCTCTGCATTTTCATCCTTCATTTCATGCAAGAAGAGCAACAAACTTTGCTTGCATGTTGAACAGACTGTTCATGCTCTGTGGACACTTGACACACTTTCTTTTCTGGGATGGCCAAGCATATGTTTTATATTTACACTCCTATTAACTGAGATGTTGGGCAGCAGGGCTGGGAAAGACCTTTGACTTTGAGATCGAAGAACAGCTGCCACTTACAGTAGACACTATTGCGATGAACTGAGTAAGGCAGGTCTCTCTCTCCATTTGAAATGCACACATGCACACACACATGGGGGGTGTACACACATGAACACAAGCTGTATAATTCCAAAGTGGTCTTGTTTCAGGCAAGAGGATCTCTGAACACCAGCAGGCTGGATCCAAAGGGATGTGCAACTGGAAAGCGGGTCCCGTAGGCAGCCTTCAGTGGCCCAAGAACGGCCTCTCAGTGCCTGCTCCGCTTCTCACTCCAGGTCCTCATGACATAGGGCTGCATCCAAGATGGCCCTGGGGCTGCCGCAAAGTATTCTGTGCCTGCTTAAATGGCCTCTAGCACAATCCTGGAAGCATTTTCTGGCATGGCAGGTCTCCCTGGGAAATAGCTACTGGCTGTTTCCTACAGCTTGCTTATGCTCATGTAGCCCAACTCATATTAGTGACATAATGGCTTTGCTTACTGCCCACAGCCCACACTTAGGGGGTGCCTTTGTTGCACTTTGCAGAGGGTAACTTTCTGTTGGAGGGTGACTTTTCTTTTCTTTTTCTTCATTTCTTCCAAGGAATGAAGATTCCTCATGCTAGATAGAAGCAGCATGTCTTACAATTTGGTGCTAGAAAAACAAAAGTGGTCTGATAAAGAAGGTTTGACTTATAACCCTATTTTTATCAAGATTGCAAGTAAACTTGCTGGAAATGCTAGCTTTAGGGACCATGGCAAGGACTTCAATACTCTGTCTCTCCCTCTCTGTGTGTGTGTGTGTGTGTGTGTGTGTGTGTGTGTGTATTTGTACGTGTGTGTGTGTGTGTGTGTGTGTGTGTGTGTGTTGAAGGGTGTGTGAATCTGAGCAGCTAGACTAGATGCAGCTGGACCAAGGGCTGCATTCCTTGCTGAACAGGGTGTGTGCTCGTAACTGTGTATGTGGCCAGAAAAAGGGGGATTCCTACTGCAAAGTTCACAGTAACAAAGTACAGTCGATTCTACCTAGGATGAAGAGTTAAAGAAATATGAAGGAATGTACACCAGTGAGCTGATGTCTCTTCTTGCAAAGTTCAAGACCTCTAAAAATTAGTTCCTAACTGCAGATTTATGGATCAAATCATAGTGGAACAACATGCAGCAGTCTTTAAATCTCCACCTACATTTCTTATTTGTTTCAGCCCTTGCTGGGAGTGTGTTGCATTGTTGCGCTGGGGCAACTGAATTAGGTAAGGATACTGAACTTTTAAGATTTGGCCATTATTGGTGTGTGTGTGTGTGTGTGTGTTGGAGGGGTGGGTGGCAGGAAAATAAACTGAGAAGGAAGATGGGTCTGGAAGTCTACCTCATGATCCAGAAATTACATAAAAAAGGGAAAGCAACCAGTCCTAAATAAATTGGATGTGGAGTGACAATGTAATGTGGATTTTGAGGCATGCATGGCATTGAGTACCTACTCTAAGCTTTTCCTTATCATGCTTGTATTCATCAGCCTGATTTGTTTCAATAGAAATATCTTCCAACTGTTTTGCAAATATCTTCCAAACTTAATGTTTTAGAGTATCTTGTTTTTCCTTGGAAGCATATGCAGTAAATAAAATTACCATAAGGGAAAATACCTGTATTGAGTTTGATCATCTAAAAGAATAGTTCAAACCATTTAAAATATGTTTGTAAGATGAAAAGTGTATATAGTGCCTTGCAGAAATGTAGCTGAGTTAATGGATCACTTAAGCAATAAATGCATTCATATGACCTGGCAGAGAAGTATTTGTTGTCATGGTGGTAGAGTTCATAATAAATTAAATATAAAATTACTGCTATAGGACTCAGATTTTGGATACACAGCAGAAGTACAGCTGTTTAAAGGTATTAATAGAGTAGGAGAAATAATACAGAACGGACTACATCAGTTAGTATGAATAATTTGATAGAAAGTTGTTAAATGGGCTACATATTATAGCAGCAGCCAGAAGGTCAAAAGCAAACTGCCTACACTGTGGAGGGAGAGGAGTACAAAACACTTGTAGGCTGTGCAGGTTTCCACATATTCGTTCTGCTTTCCAGATGGATAATCCTGAATGCCTAATTCTTTCTCTGTGATTTAGTTGCCAGCGCTGCACATGGGCAGACTTTTTAGTGAAAAGGTGATAACACAGATCAGGTGTTTGGAGATGTCAGCAGGGCAGTGGGGATGGTGATCCTTGGCACAGAAAAGAGGATTAGGATGACTGCAGATTATCTAACAACCCCCTGGTTGGAACAGGTTCTCTCTTCTTCTGCTACTGTTTCTCAAAGCAAGTTGATTTCAGAAGTGATCAATGGGTAGCATTCATTACGCATGTATAGAAAAGGAGCATTTAAAGCTGCTTTCATTTGAATATCAAAGGATCACAGAGCAAGGTTTGCAGGGGTAACAACAAAGCAAACCCCCAAATCTCCTTGATCTTCAAACAGTGTCTCTAATTTCCAAAAGCTTTTGAAAGGTTGCCAGAGTATAAGTGGTTACTTATCTGATTGAAAGACTTTGCATCAAGGGGAAATGACCTTTTAATTCCTGAAGGAAACTGATTCCTGATGTAAGGGTTATAGGCAATGGTAATATTTATAGCCATTCAAACAGAAATACATGAAATCTGCATTATGTAAATGATGGAAGAGGTGAGCATTATGAAACAATTATGAAAGAGGTCATGTCTTCCCTTCCGACTATTTCTTGCCGCATGTTCTATCGAAATGAAATTGCTCAGGAGGAGTTTACATTGAGGCAGATTGCGCTGTGACATTATGTTGATATTAAGAAAACCATATGCTGTTTGCTTTTATTTCCTGGCAATAACAAATCTGCTAATTCCACTGCAAATCAAGGAAGAGGAACCAAGTAGCTGTCTTAAGATGGCTCATTAAGGAGAAAAGAAAGTCTTAAAGAGCCAAGAAGAACTTTCTTTTTGTGATATTCTTCTACAGTGTTTACAAGGCTAGATCTCAGTAGTGATTAAGGAAATTCTCATTATATTTGCACTTTCATGTGCAAGAAGAAAAAACATGAAAGGGTTACCAGCAGTGTTTGTAGCTGCTTTCTGTAGTTATAGCTTGAATTAAGCAATAGGCACAAAAATAAAAGTTACTGGTGATTCATTCTCTCTCTCTCTCTCTCTCTCTCTCTCTCTCTCTCTCTCTCTCTCTCTCTCTCTCACACACACACACACACACACACACACACACACACTTATGTCTTTGGACAGATGTACAAGTAAGCCCTTCTGATTGCTAAGCCATAGGTAAGCAGTTAGAAGGAAGATGTAGAACCAGCTGCTTCCTTGCATCCACTCTGAAGTTCTAATACTCCTATCTTTCAGCCATGGGCTACTGTCAGTTTTAAACCATGTCTAAGCAGTACATGGGAATGGGTAAATATTTCCAATGGAATTCCCCCAAACCCACTTTGGAATGAATTCAGAGATGTTCTCTCAAGCAATGCATCCAATTTTTTTTAAAGAAAGTCAAAAGAATTTTGCTAAGACCATAGAAATTTCTGGGAATGAGTTGAGGCAGGGCAAAGGTATTTCAGTCTCCTGCAATTAAAAGATCAACAGCAGATAAAGGTGCGATCCTATGCCTTCCAGGCAAGAGCTGAACTGGCATTGATTTTTGCAGCCTTGGATTGCATCTATCTGTCCATCTAGCCATCCATCACCATCTCAGCCAAAGCAGAAAGAAACAGGAAGAGATGACAGATTCATTAGTGTACTGCCTCAAGAAGCTCTTCCTTCTCTTCAGTGCTTCATGTTGCATTTTGTACAAAGGACCTGGAAATAAAAAGTTAGGCTGATCATGATAAAAGTGGGTGTTTGTCAAAGTTCAAATGTGACAAACACCCTTGTTTTAATAAGGGAATAGTCAGCTGGAGAGTTTGGGCTCTTCTTTTTTCAGGAAAGTGCAAGAAAGTTCATGGGCTTAACTCAAACAACATATATGTATTGCTTTCATCTAGGTTAAGTCAAAATGTTACCAGTAAGCTCTCCCAGACATGCCTTTTGAATTTTCAATGAAAATAACTTCTAATGCTGAAAAGCTATAAGAGTTGAAAATGTGGGCTGTACTGTCACAGTTGAACCTCAGCTACTGATCCAGATTCCACATATGTGCTGCTAATATGTAAGAGGTTTATTGATGAGATTATGTCTTCCTCCTTGGCAAGGTCCTCATGCATCGGTCTCCAGCAAGGCTTCCCCTTAGTTAAGGAACAAGGGAGTCTGGGCTGAAATTAAGGGGGTGGTGACAATTACTGTGCCTGAATATAGCACATTTATTTTCTATTTATTAAAAGCTTTTCTAGCCCATCCACCACTAGCATCTCAGGACAGCTTACAATGAAAATGAATAAGATAAACAAAGCAGCACAGCATCCAACTAAGACAAAAAAACCCAGTTAAAATCATCTAAACATTAAAATGATAGGAAAATAAAAAGGGTTTTTCCTGATGCTGAAAAGGATATAGCATTGGCGCCAGGCAAACCTCTTTGGGGAGCATATTCCATAGTCGAGGCACCACCGCTGAAAAGGCCCTCCTCTGGGTAGCCACCCTCCTAATCTTCTTCAGGGAGGGCTCCCAGAGCAGGGCCTCCACCTCAGATCTCAAGGGGTGGGAGGGCACATAGGGAAATATAGGGTACATATAGGCACACTGAAGAAATTTGCAGTGGATTCAGATGAGTTCCAATTTCTAAGAATCCAACCTATAGATTCTGCTTTGGACCAGCTTTCTGAGTTGCATAAATTCTGCAAACTTGCAGACTTTTTAAACTTTCCAAGAACTGTACACAAATTTCATTGTGCAAAAATATCTAGAAAAACATTGACTAAATTGTACATTTCCCTTTCCCTGATTCACTAGAACAAAAAATATGGATTTAGGAGGTGGGGATTATACATTCTTCTTTCAAATTTGGGGGATATTTGCAGTGACTCATGCTTGATACTGCCAATAGATATATGTACAATTGTGCACTCCTGCACATGAAAATTAGCATAAGTGGAACAAAATTAGTTCTTCTAAAACATATCCAATTCTGTGAGTGGGTCACAAAATGAAAGATGTTGGACAATCCACAAAACACACATGGAGTGATTTAACAAAACCCCTACATCCCTACACATGTGTGATCATGATAGTCATTGTAATTGATCTACCATGATCTAGACTGGTAGATCAGTTACGCATGCAAATATTGTCTACAGAAATATACAGCAAAGCTTGGAAAAATCTCATATTCCTGTCTTATCAGCCAAGTTGATGACTCACAGAATCCATCCAACGCAAGAACCTCCCAGCTGGCCTAAGATAAAACCTCTTCCTCACTACAGAGCTAGGAAATGAGCTCAGTCCATCTGGAGCAGGCCTGGCATGGCCACAGTTGCGCTATGCAGGAAAGACCTGTGCACCACGATCAAGAGGTAGCAGCGCCTAGGTATGGAGCAAAACTGAAGCAGCATTCACCTTCCATCCTGTGATTTCCCTTCCTTCAGGCCTCTTTCGATTTCTGAAAGCCATGACGCTAAGCACAAATCATGGAAGCCATTTGTAACAATAACAAATCTCTTGCAATGGGGGGAAACCATCTGCCTCCTACCCAGCTTTTGAGCTTGTGAACAGAAGCAAAAGGTTTGCACATCTGTAGTCTCGTGATATAGTCGTGGTAGTGGTAAGGTGGGAGAGAACTGCTGTTCAGTCAAAACAAGCCCAGAGCCTTTTGGGATGCACAGATAGTTCATGTGCTTCTCTCCATTACACTTCTTTATATAGACTTGCCATTTGGGCTGCCAGCAGCAATTTGCTTGCTCAGTATTGTTGAATGTGTGCCATCAGAGAAGTACAGTTTTAATGGTAAGCGATAAGCATTTGTATGTGCATGTGTGGATATTTTTCACTGCTTCTTTGCATGCTGTGTGAGATTTATTTAGTGAAATCCTGTTCTTGTTTACTGTTTTCTGACATATCTCTCTTTGATTAGCCTGACTCCCATTACTTTGATTGCTCTATTCAGGGTACCATAACATCTTACGAGAACTATGAGGGAATATTCTTAAAATGGCAGGAACAAAATTGATTGCTTAATATAGCGCCATCAGAATTGTAAAAGGCAAACACCTTCTGCTTGTGCTATTTTTATATGTATTCATTGATTGCCTGCTGAGTGCATTCTACTTCCTTGTTTGGTACAGTGA